TCTTCGGCTATTCTCAAGCACATTTCACGCAATAGATCATGAATCTTACAAGTTCTGATTGAACCATCAAATCTTTTTTCAGCAACAAGTACCAGGCTCCTATCAATGAGTTTCATCACATATTCTAGTGCCACATCCTCTAAACTCTTACGCTCTTCCTTCTTTATATATCCTTCAGCAACCCATAATGATATCAACTTTTGTATGCGGATTTCCTCGTCCTCTTTGAATGCTCCAAAGTAAAGAAAACATGGTTTCAAGTGCATTGGCAAGTAATTGTAGCTAAGTTCTAATATCTTGATAAAATTGTCTGGATTTTCGGATATATATGAATTTAAATTTCTTGCAACATTTTGCCACAAGTGTTCTTTCTTCTCCATATTTGCAAGAATTCCAGCTATTACGACCACTGCAAGTGGTAGGCCATGACAACTTTTTGCAATCTGCTTCCCAATGTCTAGTAGTTCTTGAGGACAACTTTTATCTGTGAACAGTTTCTTTTGTAATAGATCCCAACATTCAACTTCTGATAGAAATGGGAGTGTATTTATGACACCATGAGGTGAAGCTTTTGAACCAACTTCTTTATTCCGAGTGGTGAATAAGATTCTGCTTCCAATTCCATCCTTTGGAAAATATCTTTCCAAATCATTCCATAATTCCGTATCCCATATATCATCCACGACTATGAGATATCGACTTCCTTTTAAACTTTTGTAAACATCTTCCCCCAATCTTTCAACGTCCTCGTCTGCAATTGTTTCTTTCTTAACATTTTTCATCGAGCTCAAAATGTCAATCAATATATTTTTCTTCTCATATGTTTGAGAAACAACACACCAGGCACGCTTGTAAAAATGATAGAGAATAGAGGGATGATTATATAGTTTATTTGCTAAAGTCGTCTTACCAAGTCCAGGCATTCCAAATATGGAAATAATTTGCAGTTGCTCTTTCCCTCCAATCAGTTGTTTAACAATGTCGATTGCCACATCATCAAACCCCACAACAATATCTTCCAAAATGGGAGGTTCTTTAGATTGCGACGGTAAGTGTTCACCTGGATATTTTGCAACTTTTGGCATTCCAGCTACATCAATATCGTTCTTCGTTTCTTTGACAGCCATCATAATAAGCTGAATCTTCTCAATGAGCTGAGGGAGTCTGAGGGTGAGATACCAAAATGGAGGAAATGAGTTGATAACATATTCAACTTCATATGCTATGTCCATGACTCGTATCAAAAGTTCCTCATGCTCTGCTTCTTGCTTCACAGCTATATTTGTGACGGAAGATCCCAATAACATTAGCTCCTCATGTAGCATTACAATTTGATCTTTCACATCAACGATCCTGTCCGACTTGTTATTTATTAGGTCCATGAGATCATCAAGAACGGAATCCACAATGAAGAGTGAAACCACACTAGTTTTTGGAGTCACATCACTCGGTATCTTCAGGACTGTGATGCAGTGCTCCTTGATCTTTGATTTCAAGAGCTCAAACTTTGGTAACAAATCGGAAATAGCTAGATCCAATATTCCACTCTCCGGGACTTGATCATTCTTGGTGAAAACTATGAAACTTCCTATCTCATGGACCATAGCTTTGATATCCGCCATTGCTTTCTTGGTTTCTTCTACCTCAGTAGTGGTCTGCAATGGCATGTCCTCAAGAACGTCGAAAAAGCCAGAGTGCAAGAAACTTACTACCTCGATGACCACATCTTCAATATCCGTTAAATTAAGCCTCGTATAAGCAATAAAGGTTTCTTCCTTCCGAGTGACCAAGAATACTACAAAGGTGAAAAACAAGGAATAAAAGAAACTTCCTACCTCATTAACCACAGCTTCGATATCCATCACTACATTATTGGTGGGCTGCAAATGCAGCAGCATTGATGTATCTCCAAGAAAAGTAATAAGAAATCCTAGCTCTGTCCGAAGATTTTGGAAAGCAATGTATTCTGCCTTTAAATATAGTATGGATTCTACCATTCGGAGGAGAAAATTGATAAAGGCCGCAACAACTTCATTAGGATAT